GGATCGGGCAGAGCAGGAATTTTCACTTCCCCAACTAATGGCATCCTCCGCAGGTCTCGCAGGATGCAGCGCGGCACTCACGTAGAGGAGCTGCTGCTCCGGCATATTTAATAAACTCTCGCAAATTAAGCGGCACTGGATGGAGGATGCCATAAATCAACAGGTAAGAGGAGCGTGCGTCCACCTGGGAGGCAGCTCTTCTACCGTCGCAGTTCATTAACATTAGCCAAACGATTCGAAGAGGCATAAAGGGGCAAAGACCTGGGCAGATATTAGCTTAATAAGGGGCAAAACAAGTCTTAACCCTTTTCTTGGCTATAAATAAATATTACTTTTAAATATTGCAAGATTTTGTTTCATTTTTGGCAGGAAAGCTGCCCAAAATATCCCCAAAAATGTTTACCAAAGTCAAAGATTACATTTGGAATGAGTTTAAGAAATGCAAAAAAATAAAGGATAATAAAGCCAGTTTACATCTAATTAACTTTTCCTTCCTTATTTTGATTATTCCTGCCTTAGAATGATTACCTTTAAGACCATTTCATTCCACAGAAATCCAAAGGTTAAACCTTAAGCCTATGTAATAAAGGGAAGATGGACTTCCGAGCTGAACTCTGAGCCACCTGTTGGCAAAGTGAAAGACAGAAAAAGAGGAAAAAGTGCAGCGTGCCGGGGCAGATGGAAAAGTAATTTAGTTGGCAGCTCCCACAGGAAGGCGCTGGAACACCCGCTTCAGCCAAGTCAGTCAGCCACATCCGGCGCAACTTTAAGCCGCATTTCCGCTCATGCAATTTTAATTTGTCAAATGCAAGCGACGCGTTGAGGACGTAGAGGATGCTAAAATTAACTGGAAAATTTTACAATCCTGGCGAGGCGAGGCGAGTCAGGACGAGGATTACAGAGAGGCAAGTTAAGGCAAGGCAAGGCAGCAGGAGTCAGTCCGCTGCCGAAATGAGGATGCCGACGAGCCACTCGAATTGGACCATTAGTTTCGACGGCATTAGTTTGGCGCTTTCATGGCCCAGACGATGCAGACGGCGAATAAATAAGAGACGAGCAGCGGGACGCGGATGGAGATGGGGATAGATGTAGATTATGTGGGAGGATGAAAGAAGGAGCTCTGGAACTGCCACACAGGAACAAGTGGACCGAGGCGGACCACCAGAGGTCCCCTGGCGGAATTATGCATGTAATAAAATGCGGCTGCTTCGGCGGCAACTGCAACAACCCGTGCCCGGCCACGCCCATACACCCACTATTGCCGCGAACTAAATTTAAGTGCATTAACATGAAGCGGTTTAGCTACAGTGGAACTATGTTCTAGGAAATGGGGGAAATAAATTTTAAAAATATCTTTAAATAGGAAAGATGGTACTTTGGGAAGTTCTGATGGGTAAGTTATTCATTCTACCACCTACCAAGATAAGAGAAAAAGATCTTTCCATCTGGAAATCTGGTTAAGAACATTGAATATCATTTTCTTAGAACACTTCCCTACCCCACAGTGCACGTTAGCCCGAACAAGATAAATAAACTTTTGTGAGAAACAGTTTGCCGAAGGGGAATGAGTTTGTAACCCAAAAAAAGGGGAGCTGCAGCTTCTCTGATGAGTGCAACGACATGGCAGCAGCGCTAAGCGTCAGCATCATCGACACTTTTGGCAGGAAGCATTCGCGGGCTCAGACATATAGTTTATATAGTACCGACGACTGCCAGGACATGGCCAGGAAGCTCGTCTGGCTAGGAGTCTCCGGAGTGTGTGAGACATTAACAGACTCGTAAACTGGCAGTTGCTTGTTATGTTGATTACACAGCCCGCGCGAGCATGCCACCGAATGAAAATAAAGTTGCCACGCCAAGTTTGCACTTGAAAATTAACGAATTTTAAGCTGAATTACGGAAGGTTTTCCAATGGATCTTAAACTTAAGAAGATATTTAAACCTTAAATCTTAATCTTAATGATATTTTCTAAGAACCAAAAAGTTGGCATTGGAAATGTGAAATTATTTCGAATGGTTATCTTCTCGCAAGGCAAGGACTGTTGCCATTTTAGTTTACGGCGTTCGTGGGAAGCGTTTTAAAGTCACCTCGCGTAGGCCATCGCCGGGAAGTATGCAACACTTGGTGCCACACCCCCTTCGGTACGTGCCTGTCAGGGATCACCCGGCCCTCCTAGCCCCTAACTCCACCAAAAACAACTGACAGCTGCCCTTTGAAAAAGCCAAGAAGGAAACCCACACACACAAACACAACCAAAAGAAGAAAACTTAAACAGAAACAAACAGCGGGAAACTGGAAGCCGGCTTGTGGCAAGAGTTGAAAGTTGAATGTCTGGCAAATGCCGCGGCAATGCCCCCGAAATGCAGCTACAGTGCAAAATGCATTTTCCGAAGGGGAACTTTTCACACGCAGCACCAAATCTGCCAAAGCCACTTTTCGGTATTGTTTTTTGTTGCTTTTCAAAATTTATTGCAACACTCGCTGGAGGAGCTTCTCAACTCAACTCTAGTCTTGGAAAAAAAAAGGAGCCAAAACGATGCTGGCTTTATCTCTTGGCTGTCTGTCTGTCAGAGGATATTTATCTGGCACGTTAAGTTTACTTTTGCCCCCCTACCGCCCTTCAATCTTTAGCCATTTTCCTCCTCGCTTTTCACCCGCTCGTTTCATAATTTTTCGCCTCGCGGCCAAATTGTCGTCTTTATTTGCAGCATGGAAATGCTCGAACGCAATTTCCCATTTCCATTTCCATTTCACTACACACACACGAATGGTAAACGCTGCCCGATGCGAGATTTTCCCGCATGACATTTGCGATTTTCCGCACATTTTGTACTTTATTGAACTGTTTGTCACATGACGTTTAGTATTTTGCGAGCTGCGCCAGCTGCAGGCGGGCAAACCACATGCACATGTGCCACGTCTGCAGGATGGAAAAGGGGGAAGTCTGCCAAGAAATGGGGTCTTACAAGGTACAGGGGTACTTCTATAACAGCAACTCCAACTTATACCTCAAACAGTGGGTTCTGATAGATATTTTAAGAATTTAGTTTTCCTTATATTTAGCCAATGGAAAATCAAAGTTCTTTCCTATAAAAACACCACTGTACCCCAGCCCATCATCATCATCGAATTATCATAGAATAAAAGGGGTGGCCAGATGGAGCGTTCGAGGGAGAACCACCAGCTGACCCGCTTATTACAAAGCCATGTAAACTTGATGAAAATCAAATGGAAATAAAAACGGACAGCACTCATAAACAATAATATGGCAAGCGAGCTTTCCGAAAGGAAACTTTTTGGGAAAAAGAAAAGCGAAGAAAACGAAGAAAACTTCGCCAGAGCAACTTAATAAAAACAAAAATGTATGAAATACTTTTACGACTTTCGAAGACATTTTTACAACTTGCTGGCAAGTTTTGCTAACGATATGCGAGATGCACACAGAGCTCAGGATCGGCAGCTGCATCCGAGGACTTAAGCGTCCTGGTCAAATGGATACGTCGCATCATAAAACCGAAAGTCATTTCCCACAGAACGTGTCTACAAGGAAACCAAGAGCAGGAGCAGGAGCAAGAACAGGCGAATGTCCGGCCAAGAAGCCAAAGTCATCGCAGCCAATAATAATTCCAATTGTAGTGCAGTGACAATTTTCTGTTCCTTGGCTGCAAGGATGCGCTCTTTTGGGCACTTTTGGGTACAATGTACCCCGAACAATGGTCAGCAGAAGACTTTTTATTGCCCAGCGTTGGCATTTTAAGTGCAACCAGCCAGCGTAGCAGCAGCAGCAGCAGCGACGGCATCGGCAGTGGCAACATTATTTGGCCAATGTAGACGACATGACGCGGCCATTAAGAGCAACAAATAAGCAAACAATAACAAGGAGCCGCGCCCCGCGATGAGCTGGGGAGAAATTAAGAAAAATGCTTAAGTTTCCTGCGAATGAGGAAGGCTTCCTTCTCACTTCTTGGGCTCCGAAATAAAATGACTTTACTGCACGGACAAAAGTTACTAAAACTAATGATTCCTATCGATTTATCTTGGTTAAATATTTATCAGTTGCCTGAGCCGTATATCAGTGGTTCCCTTCAAGTTAATAGCCAGGGAAATAGTTTTTTATCAAACATATTAAAATTCCATTTTTTTAAAGAGAAATCAATGCAGATAACAGAAAGATAGAATATCAATATAGTAACACCTTTTTTTCTCTATGGACAAACCCATTATCTATCGATCGACTTGGATAACTTCAGGGCGATAACGATACTTTGGCTTATGAAAATTGATGGGAAATGAGCTGCGGGCTTTGGCGCGGCTTCGATTGCTAAGCAAGATGGGTGGGAATGGCTGCCTTGGGGAATGGCTGAAGTGGCAGCAATAAGGCATAGCTGGACTATATAGTTAAACAAACTAAAATGTCATGTTGAATACCAAAAATAACAAACGAAATCATAATTGAATTAGCAGAAAAACTTGTTGAAAAGAAAAGATAGATAGAGATATGAGCAGAATAGATAGCGACTGAAGAGAGAGATTTCAGCTGTCTCGCTGCCTGACCAATTCGTTTAGTTTCGCCAAAGCTAATTAGCAACTAAAGTGAAATTAAAGCAGAGCCAAGTCAAGCTAATGGTCTTTGTGTTGGGAAAGGGGGCCGGGCGGGGTCTGGACAAGAGGAAGGTGCTACAACTAATTAAATGCAATAAGCTATGGCAACTGCTGGACGTGAACAGGAACAGGGGGTTCTGGGAGACAGGACAGGACAGGACAGGACAGGACAGGTAACGCCGGCGGACGAGTGACAACTTTGTTTTGATGTGCCGGACGACTCTTCCGGCATCCTTCCTGTTCTCTGTTCTGCAGAGAACCTGCCCTCTTCATCCCATCCCCCAGACTAACGACGAACGCGTTTTAATTTGCACATTAAAGTAATTAGTTTAGCATTAGTTAGCTGCAGTTTGTTTTAATGAGTCGCGAGCTTTGCGAGTTGGTCGGCGACACTCACCGCTCTTGAAGGTGGCCATCAGGCGTTCGGAATCAGCTCCATGCTGGCAGACAAATAGGGAAGTGTCGAGCAGATCCTTGGGCGAATATCCCAACAGGCCATGCATTCTGAAATATCAAAAGTTAAAACATATTAGAATTAGCACTATTAGATGTGAAGTTTCAGACGAGTTCCCATTTTAACTTTTCATTCTGCTGCTGCACTTTGACTTTGTTTCTTAAATAGCTTATAAGAATGATTTAATGGGCTTAACTCACGTGTTAGTCATACAAATATTAGGTTGTTCTTATATAAGCACTTAACTGCCGCGAAAACATTTGATGATTTATCGGTGGACATCAATTTAAAGTATCATTATAGTAATTACTATATTCTTACAGATGAGTGTAACTTTTCCCTAGCAAAAAATTGAATGATTTACTAATAAATGACATTTATGTTCTGTCGTTTTTGGCAGAGCAATTAATCAATAAAAACCCTCTACGAAAACTAGTTTCTGAGATAAAAAACTAAACGGAATCTTATTGCAACAACTTCTGAGATTAAAATAGGAGCACGTCTGACAAAATGTATCTCACTTGTCGTCCACATAGGTGAAACGCATATCCAGGGAGTGCTTAGTAAGGAAGGTGCTGGTTCCCAAGGGTATCTCTATGTTCGACGGATGCGGAATGGGTCGGCCAATGGCCATCAGCAGGCGCTCGCCCTTGGCATTGACCACCAAGTGTCCAGTGATGTGAATGACCTGAAAGCGGAAAAAATAAGTTTAGAACCTTTGAACTTGCATTCTTAACAACCACCCACCTTATAAGAGGCGCTCTTGATGTTGATGCTGCGCCCGCGACTGGTCAGGGTGCACTTTAAGCGCACGAACAGGTCCCGATGATGGGTGCTCACCCCGGAGTCTTGCTGCGGCTCAACCTTGACCTTCTCGGCAATCTCGCGCTTCAGGCTGAGGGCCTCTTTGATCTCGGCATGGTCGCACTGGTGAGAGTACTCCCAGATCTGCTGGCCAAGGGTGTCGATCTGTGGGTAGTAAATAACAAAATTAGAATCTATGTCAAGAAAACTAAAGTAAAAACTCACCTTGGTGATGCCCAGATACTCGACGACATTTTCGGACACATAAGTGATATCCCCTTCGTGGGACAAGACCATCAGAAAGCCGTCCATGGTCTGTTTGAGAAGCTCTTTGGCCTCTGCTCCATTGAGCCAGTCCTCGTTGCCCACTTCCAGCTTGGGCTTGACCTCCTGATTGTTTTCCATCGCTTCTCCTACCTTTTGGAGGGTATTCTTGCAGTCCCGAGCACTGGGTACTGAAAAATACAATTTGTCAGAAAATGTTAGGAAAAGAACTCAAAGAGAAACTTACTCGACTCCAGCATCTCGCGAATCTTGAGGTAAGCGATGGTGATCCTCATCACGGAGGCCTTGTCCAGTTGATTGACATCGTCGGTCTTCAATGGCAAGGCCGCCGAGAGCTCCATGAAAATCTCCGTCTCCTTGGAGCGACGACATCTAGCCGCATCGCGAGACTTTTCCTTGCGCTTTTCATTGTTCCTGCAAAGATCGATGAGATGGAAAATTAGCATAAGCTCAAAACGATCACGTACGCCACCCCACCTACGTCAGAGGGGCAAAGCGGGGGGTCTGAAATATGCGTGCATTGCAATTGCTGCACTTCTATTCCCGTTTGATTGCTTTTGATTCAATTCACGCGGCCAGAGCTCGCAATTTTTCAATTAAGCAAAACGCCTGCAGTTTTCGCGTTCGTTGCCAGGCGAAAAGCGAAAAACCAGCCAAGGCGATCGACACGTAGCGAAAGTTCAGGGCAGCCTTGGCCAACTCTATGAAATTTAATAACCAGATAATCCGATTTTGAGAAGTATCTTTGGTTTTAACTTTGTTAGGATCGAAGTTTGGAAAGACAAGATCTGTAGTAGATAGGAAAACTTTTAGTCAAGTTAGCACCAAATCTTAGCTAGTTTGAGATCTTAATGCTTTAACATGGAGAAGAATTTCACAAAAGAATGAAAATGTCTAGTTAGTGAAAGTGATAGTTTGCTGATAAAGAATCTCTATGGCATTCCGTACCCCCTGAGACTTGAAAACTATTCACACTCGATCCATTATTCATTCGTATTGCCTAGAGGATCCTGACCTACAGCAGCGCCCCCTTGGGACAGCTGAGCATTCCCAGCTGACAGAAGAACCACGGGGGCTTTAGATGGTTTATAGTGTCTGCTTTGGATTCCGAGAATAGCCAGCAGTCACACGTTCGCCTGATAAGGACAGCCCCGGCTGCCTTGGCACCAATACCCTGGTGGTAGCCTCTTGGAAACTTTGGAACATTTCGCCAGGGGATTGACGAAACATCTCACCTGCCCGATGAGTTGGCAATTAGCAACTCCGAAGAGTTGTCTTCGATCGGGTGAGTAAGCCCCCTTAGGCCGGGGGTCTCGACTCGTCCATATTGGCGACAAGTTTTAATCGGCAAACAAGCAGGCAAATCAAGCGAACACATTTATAAGACAGAGCACTGACCTCACACATACGGGCACTATCAATATACCTCCATATATATATATTTGGGAAATTCTAAGAAAAGACGGATGGCCCTCCCTCGGGACTGAGAGTGGGGGAGAAGCATACAAAGTTTGCCAAGAAAATCTCGTGAGCTGCCGCATGCAAAGGAACTAATTCGGGAACTTATCCACGGCAACAACATAATATTTTATTTATTATGTGAACTTGTATAATCCACGGAAGACGCCTATTTTTGCACGTAGTTGCCTTGGCATTTCGATTGAATTTGCCAACGCTGCTGTGCTGGCTCTCTGAGAAGGAAAACTACCTGCACACGTAAGGTGATTTGGTTGTGGAAATGCGCTTGGCAACATTGCGAAAATTTGAAATTTCTCCGTTAACAAGCTTTTAAGTATCAGCTGTCAACGAGGGAGTCCAGGTGGGCAAAAGTCCATCACCATATCAGCCGCCAAAGGCAGTGGAATCTGCATTCTACAATGTGATGTACCTGTCAGTCTAGGAACTGTCTATTAAAGTATTATTTACCTATTTTAATGAAGGTATTGCTAAAATGTTAAACTTTTTGTGAGGGTAGAAACTAATAAATATATTTTATTGGATTTTCCAGGGCCTTTTCAGATAAGATATTCATGACTCAAGTAAAACTTCTTGGAACTCTAATAACCAAATTGATGGAAATGTAAATAAATAAATAATTATTTAATATAATCTTCTACTATGACATCTTTAAACACAACATAGGATCGATCGGTTGTAAACAATCTAAAAATAAACCAACCAAGGCTTGCAATCTTTTGAAATAACCAATAAAAGTCATTCATTTCAGGAGAATCCCATTTATGATTTCTTTTATTTCCCTAGAAAGAGTATTTTCCGACTGCAAGATAAAACTTCGATCTAGCCAAACAAATAAAAATAAGATAACAACAACAACAATAACACACTGAAAGAAAGCTAAATAAACAAAGAGATAAGAGGGCTTTTCATTGTCAATCAATCGGCTGATTGATGGAGCCGAGCCTAGGCAACCGTTTCAAACAGAACTGGAAAGGCTACTGAGATAATTTTTATATAGTATTTTATTATTTCACTCGCTATCAAAGTGTGCACTGATATATATGTATAGAATATATATATATATATAATATATATTCATAAATATACTGAAATCCGATAGTCGGCAGCCCATAGAAAGCGGCGCAGAGTGGCTTTGAATTGCATGCTAATGGCCTGCTTAAATGGCCTGATATCCAGGGGGGTTTGCGCGGGGGCGGTGCCGGCGATCGGGCCATTGTGTTCATTAGAACACAGGCAAGTACAGCCTTTTAAATATTCTGGCTGTGCCAGCAGAATTGCCTTGTTATTGCCGCCATCGCCGCTGTTGTTGTTGCTAAGTATTTCCGCTCCAAAGCGCAGCTTAAGCCCAGGCAAAAAGTCAAAACGTTAATATGAATGAGTATACCAATTAAAGTTGGTATGGAACATTAAAGTCAAGAAGCAGCTCTTAATTAGTAAAAATAATAGTCTAATACTACCTCTCTTTGCATAATAAATTATCCAATCTTATATAAGATTGTATTTAAATAAATATACAAAGATCCAGCAACCACGATCAAATCACGTGGAGAGCTAAGTCTTGGCTTATACCTTAACAGCACCTTAGGATACTGACCCGCTTCTGTTTGAATTTGAATTTCGGGCATTGCGAAATGCTGGGAGAAGCACCACCAAATGCGCCGTATCTTCGGACGAGATATCAGCCAAAACACATAAAATACAACCCGAGGTGTTAATGCCAAGTTCATGGGGCAGTAAATCGAGCCAACTTCGGGTCAGGGATGTTTGGTTGGGCTTTGGGAGCAGCATAATGTGGCAGAGAGTTCTTCGGGGGACGTGTGCCCTCTGCAGTTGCGTCAGTTTGGTTTTGGCTCATTAGCATGGAGATGGGCAAGCACAAATTTGGCTTAAACGTGTGCAAAACGTAAATAAACGAAACACTGGCGACCATTTCAAACCCATTTGATTTCCGTGCACGTTGCAGGCTAAGTTTGTGAGGAGAAATCCAGGGAAAGGGGACACTAATCTGCGTCAATCGCTGGGGAATCGTTGATCAAGTATATGGATTTAGGAAGCCCCATGCAGAGGTCCCTCATCTTGTCTCCACGTGACGATAAGTCTTTGGGAAATACCCAACATAAAGTCATCGTTGATAACAGATAACAATTACACAACCGAACGACAGCCAAACAATGTTCGACTTCTATAAACTAGATTGCCGCCATTAAAGATTTCTGATGAATAGCTATAGAAAGAGGGAAAGTCTTTCTCTGGAAAAGGTAACTTCTCTTGGGAGAAACCCACTGAACCTTGACTCATCCAATACCTCTCTCTCTCACGCCATATCTCCGTACCCCTCCCCTTATCTTTGGCTGCGTATCTAAATATTATTATAAAAGCGATCCACAAATAAGCATAGATAAGAGCCCCGCCGTTTGCTTTCGGCTCCGCGTTTTACAATAGGACACCCAATTCTAAAAGTGCGCCTTCCAGTGCTTTGAGAAAAACTTAGATCGTCACAGGCATTCTCCGAACCGATTTTAACTGGTTTTCTTTTTGTTTACTTAGATGAGGGTTTTCAGTTGTGTAATCAACAGGGAAAAGTGAAAATTTGTCAATAACTTATGTGGATTTCGGTAGCAATAAGGGATATTTTCAAGGGCTTATGAGGTAAAGCCTTCTGAATTCCTTATCACTAGTTTGATTTTCCCTGGAAGTTCTATAACTTTGTTTAATGTAACCCAAAAGATTCTCAAACCAATCTCTTTTTAACACCAAAAGCAATTGATAATCAAAAGTATTAAACCCATTTTTCGCCCATTCAAGATTAGAGATCTCAAAGGTCCACTTACATAAAATCTTCGATGTCCACGAACTGCGAGAACTGGCAAGGTTGTGTGTTGGTGGGGGCGTAGCCATAGCAATAGGCGTAGCTCCAGGGGCGGGTTTCGCGACAGGGTGTGGCCACATTCAAAAGACCGCCCCTTTGGCCATAGAAAGGATCCTGAGGCTGTTGCTGGTGATACGGATGATACCTTTGCATCCCAACGGAGGACACACTGGGCCCCATTATGGGACCCACATACGGTTGGTTTCTGGCTGGTGGGCCATTATAGAATGACCCATTGCTAAAGTTCACGGTGGGTTCATTTATGGGCGTACGCCCGAAAACAGAGCCATTGTTCAGCTGTTGCTGTTGCTGTGGCTGTTGTTGTTGTTGCAACTTCAGATCGCACTCGAAGTAGTTGTTAGTGGGAATCACATCCTCGCCGTAGAAGGAACTGTCGCCGGGACACGAGAAATCGCAGCTCTCAAAGGAGTTAAACATTGATTGCGTCGTTTCTTTCGCTGGAATCCGGCTAAGCCCATCGGTGAAGAACACACACACGCGTCCGATAACAGCTGATAATGGCGGGCGACCAGAGTTTTAAGGCTATTTTGATTTGACTATAACTTTAGTACACGTTTATATTTGGAGAACACGACGCACGGGAGTTCGAGCCGTAAATGAGCGAAAGGTTTCATACCCTCGAAGCCATCATATTTATACCCGGACAGGCGTTCCGAAAAAAAAGTGGCAAAAGAGCGCCAGCGGGAGAGCAGCAGACATTAACGTCAGATTCCGTGTGCTATCAGACAAGTTTGCCTATCCGGACAAGTGCGCTCCGGGCCGGAGTGATAAGATAAAGTCCAGTCCGCCTGCCTCGAAAACATTCAGTTGGCAGGGAGCTAACGGTTCGGCTCTGCCCAATCGGAGCGATAATGGGCAAACTGAGTGGCAGATTCAAATTGGAGGCATATAAATTATGTCAGTACGCTCCACTTCAGGCGTTAATTGCGCCGGATAATATAGCATACTTTGCAGCGCCCCCGTAAAATTGCTGCACGTCCAGGATATCAGTTTTCCACCCATTTCCCTGACTCACCAACTGCAGTGCACGTTGCTGTCATGGTTTAAAATAAATATCTCTCCACAGAAAACAATTTATTTTGTTTATAACTCAGATTGTTTAATTTTATAACCAGGAGAAGGAAATCTTAAAGGGAAAAAAGGAGCCTTATGTGGCTTAAAGCGACTTTTTAATTCCTTAAATGTTGAATATAATAATCTTAATAGCTCGATCTTGATCTTTTCTTTCTCTGGAAGAAACACAGATTTAGATGACTAAATATTCTGCCACCGATCTCAGAGTTCTCCAAGATTTCCGTAGTCGGCCGAGCAGCCCGATAAGAACTATAGCATAACAGTTAAATATTTATATTAGTTTGCAAACAGGCACGGAAAGTGAAACGAGATAAGGGAGCTTGCTCCCCAGCCAAAGGTAATCAAATCACAATGTAATCAGCTCGCAGAAGGAGGCACTGGACAGGCGGGGTCAAGTTAAATCGCCATGGGATGTGATAACCACTTGTTTACCTTTTTATTCTACAAATGTCTGTCATTAGCAAATCTATTTAGTTTTGGTATAAGTGTTATGGTTAAGCTTACTTAAGCAAGTTAAAAGTGAAAATCGTTTTACATCATTAATGATTTAACGATCTTGCAAGTCTGTATATTAGCAGCATTTGATTTCAAAAAAAGATTCTTATAGGATAGGTCTAAAGACATTAAAGAAGAAAGCATCAAGCCCGCAAGCTTATACTATGGAACTCGACTCATATACAGCTTCTACAATGGATGGGGTGGCAAGATAAAAACATTTACAAATATTATTATTATTCTTAACTATAATTGGCATATCCTTTAAGTTTTTTTGGAACTATATATGCGCCATAGAAAGAAATTACAGGGAAATATATGTACAATCAAGTTGAATTTATACAATACAAAAAATAATATATTTTGTGGATAAGCACTATCGGTCACAACAGAAATCTTAAGAAATCGTAGAATTCTTTTTAAAAATACTTTATCGACCTAAACGGATGTAGGTAGCTTTGTAATCCGTAAAAAATGTAATTTCCAGCCGATGATCCTAAACAGATGGCTATAAAGATCGTCATCCTTTACCCAATAAAAAGTTTCTTTGTTCTTAGCCTGTAAAAAATGAGCCTTGAACAGGTTTCTTACAAACCACAAGTTTTTCTCAAATTCGCAAAACTTGTGAAGCATCTTCAACGTCTTGATTCCAATTTATTCGCTATATATATCCAATAATTATATACATATATATTTTAACTTTCCCTGCCAGCAAAAACAGAATCATAATTTACACCGAATGGGATGCATATAAAGCCCATTCAGCTGAACAACTGAAAAATATTCGGAAGCTGTGTTACCTTCGGTCTGTCTCTTTCACTGTTGTTTATAGCTGTCTCTGTCGCTGCACCAAGTTCAAATTTGTACACAGAAAGAAATATATATTGCATGTGTTCAAAATTTTTGGTATTTAGTTTCAAAATTAAGATCACATTGAAAATGAGTCGTTCGAAGATATCTATCCAGAAGAAATACTTTCTAGGATCCCAAGATTATGGTTCAAAGTTCACAACAATTAAATATCATCTACTTTTATTTCGAAAAGATTAAATGCTTTTTACAGAATTTTTTCTCTCTGCACCAATATCAAAACAAAAGTGTGTGTATGAAAATAAAGAGGAAGGCGAGAAGAAAACCAACAAATAACTCCACGAGCCTAATACTTGAATACAATACCATCTCTCTTTCTCTCTCGCCCCCTATATAATAACCCCTCGGTCGTTTCCATCCTCCCCGTGTCGTCACATTTTTAGTTCGATTGCGCAAAAAGTAGGTCGTCGTGGCCAGACAAGAAACAACAACAACAACAACAGCAGCAGCAACAGGGCATATCATTTAAATATTTTACAATACACACATGTGGCGGGGATGTGTGTAAGCGTGTTTTACTTTGTGCGTTTATATGCGTTGGTATTTAATTTTATTTATTGTCGAGTTGTTTTTTAAGTTTCATTCAAACGGCTTCTGCGCGTTTGCTTCTTGGCACAGGTCTAACGGCTAATAAAACTAATTTAAAACAAACCATAATTCCGATTCAGATCCCTGCCTTTCCCCAAATAGCCTCCATTTAACCCGACCAGCAATAATTCACTTCACTGCAGTCACGATCTGTTCAAGATCGCAGTGCTGCAATCGAAAAGTCGGTCGATAAACTTATCTTTACCGTAGGGAAATTACTGATAGATTCGATAAACAATAGTGATCGATAAAAATTTATATTTTGATTTTTAAAAATAGCCAATTATTGAATTTTTTTTTACTTATATATTACACAATATATCTAACATCTATATCTTCGTAAAATCCACGGAGTAAAAAACCTGACATAATAATATTTATTTACAAAGCTTTCACTAACGGTGGCCAAATCCGAAATCCCATTAAAGCCAACCGAAGTCAATTGTTTTCACATGTCGCACACAAAAATCATTTTTAACCTGTTCGAAGCAAATGGAAAAACGCGAATAGTCGGTTAGTGGGTCTATTCGAAAAATGGTTATAGAACGGCTTTTCAGCTTTTCCACAGTTTGTTTTTAACTTTAGTTTTATGGCTGTCACGTAGGCCAAACCGAAACTTTGTTTCAGTCCAACGTTAATGTCTTAAGTGAAACATAAACTCGCCAGTTTATGGGCTTATAAAATTAATAAATTTAACTTTTCTGAGGGGCGTGGGCCAAAAATAAGAAGAAAAGACGGAATCGAAAACAAAACAAAGCTGATAAAACGAAGCACGAGGAGAAAAACAGGTTGTTTTCAGAGCAGAGGGGCAAACATAATCGAACATAACAGGTTTTCTTCGGTGCTTTTGATTTTTGCCCTGCTTAAAAATAACCCACAGTGCGTAAGGAAAAATCAGAACAATGCACTCGTCTAAAAATAAACCCCAACTACTGGGGGCCTGGCCTTATGTATGAGAAACCCTTTGGGATAGATATATCAAGATGGTTTCCAGGAAGCAACAAGTGGTTTTGAAGGAGTCCCCGGCAAGGTGCACTTATTGTTGTTCAATTGTCTATAATATACCCCCTAGATATCATATTCCACTGCGGAAACCAATCGTGCATATGCAAACCGAACGATTTCGGATCGTCTCGACTTTTGTCTTTGAAAGTCTGAAGGTCGTGGGTCTCGGCCGGTGGGTTGGTTCTCTCTCTCTTTCGCTCTGCCTCCGTCACTGTCTCGAATAATTATAACCGCGAATGCAAAAATTAGTTGAACGCGTGATTAATGATTGGCTTTTCATTATTTTCTAGTCTCTCCAACGTCTCTTTCGTCAACCAGTGACGCCCAAAAAGGAGAGTTGATGAAATCAAGCGAGGCACAAATTCAAATTCGTTTAAGTAATAATTCCCTCCCGGAAAAGTTTTATTTTGATTTCAGAATCAGGAAGAAAAGTGCACTTATTGTGCATAAAATGAGTTTAAGATCGCTGAACTAGTAATAAACATGGGATTTTGACGCTGACCAACAAGTTTGTAAGTATTTCCTAAGGTGGAGATTGAGATACATACATGTGGAAAATGGAATATTATTGAAAAATATGAATTTTGAGAAAATCGAAAACAAAACAAGGAAAACCAAAATCCCAGCACCATGTCTATAATGGGATAAATCACTTATAGTAAGCCAATCATATCAAATAAGATTTTAGTAGTTTACAAGAATAAGAAGATCAAAATAAATGCATTACAAAGGAAATAATATTATTTTTTACCAATGGAATATCATATATTATATTAGGATTAATGAATTATATTAGGGTTACCCATATACGAACTGTTTTTCAGAAAAGGCTTCTCTTAATTGACAAATATACATATCTTTAATGAAAACAAAGCCCTTTCCTGCACAGGAAAATATTCATACGATGCAATATGATAACAGATCATAAAAACTCACGAAATACGCCTACGAAACTGAGAAGAAAGGCGGAAAGCTGCCGATAGCAACAAAAGCCGAAGACGAAGAGGGCAAAAAAGAAAGCAAACGCTTATGCAATGGGCAAACATCTGATCTAAGCAAATCGGATGGAATTCGATCAAGATATTCGGATTGGTGGACAGTACAGCGGTTCAAGTGACTCACCTTCGCTTCTCCTTCGGTTTGCCGCTGGCCGTGAGATTGGATTTTGGGGCCGCGCAGGATGAGGAGGTAGATGGAGAGCCAGAAGACGAAGATGATGGCGAGGTTGAAAACGAGGGGGAGGAGGTGGAGGAGCTCGTGGCCACCGACTGCGATTGCTTTTGTTTTTCAGCGGCCGCTTCGATTGTGTCAATTAATGAAACCATTTTGTCTCCGGATTTCAAAATGCAGCAGCATTCAAAAGATCTGTCGATGTGGAGGTTCCTGTTTTTCTTTACTTTCTGTTTTTTATTTCCTTCTTATCGCGAGTTTTTCCAGCACTTTTTGAGACTCTTCGTTGTTGTTGTTATTGTTGTTTTGTATTTATCGCTGTTACTTTCGTTGTTTTCTATGTATGAAAACTAGCTGTGCGCTTGTATTGGATGTTGTTGCGTTCGTATTGTTGGCACTACGCACACACACACACACACAGACACAATAACTCTATTTCCTATTAAATTTTTATTATTTAACCACTTTAACTGCTAACACCGTTTAGCTTATAACTTTTGTGGATATTTCCGATTTCTGATCGACAAAAAAAACACAAGGTTATTATGTTATTTCACTGCTGTTGTTGTTGTTATTGTGGTTGTAGTCTCAACTGGCCAATTGCACTTTGGTATATTCGATAATTCGAGTATTACTATTATTGCACTTTGAAGTTCTGCACTGATTTGCTGTTGAATTCGCGTTTTAGCATCTTACAAACGCGATTTATTTCCAATATATGCATTTTACACTGCGCCTACAGCATTTTTCCCTTCCACACGAAATCTTAATACGCTTTTATTTTTCCGTTCTCTTTTTCTAGTTCCTTCGTAAACAGTGTGGCAGCGTGGTGGTAAAAATACCGCAACCTCGAGCTGCAGCTGCCAGAAAATACCACAAATATACCGCAAAAACTTAGAAAAATAAACGGCCTATTAATACAGTAAATACTAGTAAATGACCTTTTTTTTAAATTTTCAAATATCCTTTAATGAATTTCCACTAGATAGATTTATTTTTAATTTGAAAGAGCGAACTAAAAAAATTAGCTAAGGTATTGGTTTACACTTTACCAAGACTAATTACCAACATTTACTATTTTCTTAATATAACGCTTACGCGTCAGATAAATATTTCCAAGTCACGGTAGACGGATTATATGATTGGAGCCCGATTAGCCCCCAACTATGACAAGCTTTATTTATTTTGTACGAAGTCACACCTAGCCCTTAACTTTAAAGTATAAGTATGTTGAATACGACATCTAAGCCTTGGGCACCACTGAGTTACCTCTAGGGGCTACATCCTCGTTTCCGCCTCCTGCATTGCCAACATCCGCCAGCGGATCTGCGTTCTGGCCAGCAATCGAAGAGGTATCAGTGTCCAAAGCATCGCCCAACCCATCATCGTCGTCGTCATCTCCACCGGATTTGTTATATACGGTTGGATACTTCTGGAAACAATCACGCATCTTGGTGAAGGCATCGTAGCAATCGGATCCCTTGGGATCGGCAGTGCTGTTCTGAAAGCATGAAAAGGCCTCGCGAAAATCGACGCCACAGGGACCGGTGGCCATTCCACCGAGGCAAGGACAACTCCAGTTGATCTTGCCGTCCTTGGTGATTACACCCTCCGGCTGTTCCGGTGGCGGCAGCTCTATTGTGCTGGCCGTGGCATGGTCCTCCTTGGTCACGAAAATAACCTTGTCCTTTCCATACTCCTTGCAATATGAAAATGACATTTTGATGAACTTAACTTAGTCAAATGCTATAAATTCCACGGGGGATTCCTCAAAATCTAGGGGTTTCTGCGATGTATTGAGCACCTGGAAATGGCAGGGCACCTCCTGATAGTATCCGATCAGGGTTAAGGCTATGCGAACACGTTCCAGGAAATCCTCGGTCACCCGGAAAATGAAGCGGTTTTGCTCAGTGCTAAATTTCACAATATCCACAGTGGTTTGGCCACCGATTTCGCCAAATATACTCGCCAAAGAGTTGAAAATGCAACCGTAGAGAAATACGGGCGTCAAAGTCACGGAGTCGGGATCACGGAGTTTCCTGTGGATAAAAACATGTATTATTTTCACAAACTAATATGTTGCACGTGTGCACGTGTGGAATATGCATAAATTTAGGAGCTCACAGCTTCACGTCCAGATATTGGTAACCACTCATTCTTTGGTTACGGCAAGCTCCAATCCCGGTAATGCAGCACGGGACCTATTTTTGATGGGAACCTTTGGGAAAGTCGTCAACAATTTGCCGGTCAGTGTGTTTTTTATGTAATTATTTCCTTTTCACTGTTTCTTTCTGCTTTTAAAACAGCTGTGCACGGACAGAAATGGCAACTCTAGTTTTTTCAATGAAAGCTGTCAGCTATAAAAAAGCTAGTCTTATAAAATAATCTGTTATTATATTTTTCAGGGTATAGATTTGATTTCGTTGAATAAGTTAAAACTCCTTAAAAAAATGTATTAAAAATATGCGCATTAAAATCCATAAGTGAATAATACTTTTTTTAGGTAGACAGGATGTCAACACTGATTCCAGCTTGTTTCGTTGTGAACGACAGAGAAAGATAGCAATCGAAACAATTTAGATTTGATATTCAAACTTTTCATAACCGTTACAAAAGATTTAATCATTGAAGCAATAATAGATATATAGTTAAAATATCTAAGCAGCTACATATTACTTAAAGGCTAATCCTCAGTATCGGACAACCCTACCAAATTCTTCTCAATGTCTTTCTCAAAGTCTAATGTTGACTTAGAGGCCTGTAGGATCTTGAAATGACAGGGCATCTCCTGGTAGTGTCCTATTAGTTCCAGGGAGATGCGTATCATTTCAAATGTATCTTCAGGTACCCGGAAAATAACGCGTTGCTGTTGGGCGCAGAACTTTACGATTTCAAGTGTAGTTTTTTCCTCACAGAAGAAACTCTCAAAGGCATCAAGAACACAGTTTCGAAATAAAGACGGAGTCAAAACAACAGCATCTGGATCCCGAAGTTTGCTGAAAAACAAATATATTCAAATTCTGACTAATTACGAAATTCTGCACTCACAGTTTAATGTCGAAGTAGTAATAACTCGCCATGGTGATTTTGCGCTGTCCTCGTTAAGCGGAGTCCCCTGTAATGATAATTCGATAGCTGCGCGATCGGGGCGAATGGTTCACTGTTGATTGTCTTTCGTGAAATGCGCGGCGCCAATTGTTTGACGAAATTCTATCACGGAAAACAAAAAATTTTTAAAACAGAAACTAGAAACTGGAACTGTAACAATAAATTGACTTTTACTTCGGAACTGTCAAATGGACAAGCTAGCAAATGCGCAGGTCCAACAGGAAGTCGAAGAGGAGGAGGGTCCTCTCAGTGTTGCTAAATTAATGGTGAGTGATCAGCGATCTCTGCCCGAATTTGGAATTTGCGTTAATGCTCACTTCAGGGCGGGAGCATCACGGCCAAGGACATCAAGCTTCTGCAACAGGCCAGTTTACACACCGTGGAAGCAGTGGCCAATGCCACTAAGAAGCAACTAATGGCAATTCCCGGTTTGGGTGGCGGCAAGGTGGAGCAGATCATTACGGAGGCCAATAAACTGGTTCCCCTGGGCTTCCTCAGCGCCCGGACTTTCTATCAAATGCGTGCGGATGTGGTGCAACTGACTACGGGCTCCAAGGAGCTCGACAAACTACTAGGTGGCGGAATAGAGACGGGATCTATCACGGAGATTTTCGGAGAGTTTCGCTGTGGAAAGACACAAATATGTCACACTTTAGCTGTCACGTGCCAACTGCCCATCAGCCAAAAAGGCGGCGAAGGAAAGTGCCTGTACATCGACACAGAGAGCACCTTCCGTCCGGAACGATTGTCCGCCATTGCCCAGAGATACAAGTTAAATGAAGCCGAGGTCCTTGATAATGTAGCCTGCTCAAGAGCATACAACTCGGATCAACAAACGAAGCTCATTCAAATGGCAGCAGGTATGCTCTTTGAGTCCAGGTGAGCAGGTTTATTCCCTAATTTAACAAGCCTAAAACACCATACATTTCAGATACGCCGTTGTCATTGTGGATAGTGCAATGGCTCTCTACCGATCGGATTACATAGGACGTGGAGAGCTGGCCGCCAGGCAAAATCATCTAGGTTTGTTTCTACGCATGCTCCAACGCTTAGCTGATGAATTTGGAGTCGCGGTGGTCATTACAAACCAGGTGACTGCGTCGCTGGACGGCGGACCGGGCATGTTTGCCGGCGATGCAAAGAAGCCGATCGGTGGACACATCATGGCCCACGCCTCCACCACGCGACTTTATTTGCGGAAGGGCAAGGGCGAAACTCGCATTTGCAAGATCTACGACTCGCCATGTCTACCAGAATCTGAAGCTATGTTCGCCATCCTGCCGGATGGAATAGGAGACGTTAAAGAAGGCAACTAAGTCGTTGGTCAGGACAACTAATGAATGTTTACGCTAGCTTTTAAGGTCTTTAGGAGTATGCTGTTACAAATAAAAAACTATTTATAATGTTTTATGTTGGTTAACATATTTTAATGATTTCAGGGTTTATAAACTAAACAAAAATTTTTAAATTTTGAAGACTGTTAATGCCGCAATCATTCAATCAAACAAGGGCTGAGAGTATGTACCACTATATTTAATTCATTAATAATCAAAACATCTACACACAATAATTATTTACGGATCAGAAGCAAGACAGCTTTATATGTCTGGTTGTAATAATAAGCGGGTGCGGCAGGAGTTGTCCAATCTCCAGAGCTGCACAGATATGCAGATGCCCCTGGTGGGCAAGCACATGTAAGGTCCAAACCTTATAGTTTTATATAAGGAAATTGATGAATTTTAATCTTAAAAATTAAGCAATAGCACATTCTGCTTATACAATCTTCGTCGTTCATAGCAATGTCTTCAAGTTGCCTGGTTTTAACGCTTAGGATTAACTGAAAAAAAAAGTGTGTTAACGGTTTCCCTGGTGGTCAACGTTTTCAAACGTACCTTATCGTACATCTGGACAAGCAGAGCTGGTCCTTAAACACTGATCTACTGCTGCACGGCTTCGGTGGAAGCGGAGCTTTCCTTGGCCAACACCAAGTTGTTGTAGCCGCGATCATTCATTCCAACGCGAAGGTTTTCGTTCATGTTTTTCGTGTAGTTCTTGTAGATTCTTACCTTCTCACAGAAGTCAATCCAAAAGTTGTCCTCTCCCTCCGGCTCTGGATTAAAAAGACTTTTGAAGCCATCGTATATACCAGAGGAAACCTTGCGAATGACTTGTGCCTTTTCCTTAAACTCTACTTCATCTGACAAGTCCATCTTCCAGAGCTCTAAGTTGCCCACATAGCGGCGAAGACGTCGCATTATGTCCACGCACTCTGGATTCCGCAGAAGCATCAACTTGGTGAGCTCCACCTCCTTAAACTGTTCCAGAATCTCCAAGCACTTGCCCACATTGGCTCGCCGCAATCCTAGGCACTCGCGCAGTTGTTGGGAAAGTTGGATGAAATCGCGCTCCATAAACAGAGCATCCTCGTGCTCAATTAGCTCTTCGATAAACCTCAAGGCTTCCTGCTTGGGAATTTCGGTGCGCATGGGTTCCACCACGATCCTTTCGGGCATGGCCTCCGGGTCCAGTTGACCACTCTCTAGTTTAAGTTTGAGCTCCATGGCTTCCTTACGAGCTTTCTCCACCCAAGCCTCCTCGGCAGCGGCGTTTTCAAAGATATCTGGCTTGTTGTAGTTTATGTCGATTCCCAAACACTTAGCAGTGGGCATGTATACCATAAGCATCTCATTCCGAATGTTCTGTGCGGGCAGAAATAGTATTAGATTAGCGAAAAGTATTAAAAAACCAGAATGAACTGAAACACCTAAAAAGCAGTGGATACATCCATTAAAACGAACCTTGATAAGGTTAGGTCAGGTACATACATTTTAGCTTACTAGATCTCAGTATCTAGTTAAACGCTTATCACCGTGACCTATTTAATTAGTTCATACTTACATTGATTTGCCTTGCCCGCTTCTGGATAGGAGTAACTGCAGCCGTGGGCTTCGATTTCTTTACGGATTTCTTGCTAGATGAGCTGGTGGCAGCAGCTGGATTAGCCGCTGTGGTGGCTGTGCCGGCACTCAGACCCTCAGCGGGAACCCGCCGCTTAGCTGGAGGAGGAGCTGTCTCCGCGGCGGTGTTAGCGTCACCGCCCGTTTCACTGTCTCCGACCACATGGCGCGGTGGTGGTGCCTTGGACTTCCGGCTGACGGTTTTCTTCGGCTTCTCTGCCGCGGGAGTAGCAGGAGGAGCAGGCGCAGTCGAGGGTTCCACTGTCTCTTTCGGTTCCTCGGTCTTTGCTGGATCCGCGGAGGCGGGTGGAGCAGCACCTCCTTCCGTGGCGGGCAAATCGATGGGCGCCGAGTCTTCTCCGCGCAGGGCGCTCTCTATTTGATCGATAGCTTCAATGAACTTAGCCCTCTTCATAATCTTTTCCGTGGCGAATCTTTCCTTGTTGCCCGCGTACGGGAACAGATCCTCCAACTTGATGTTAGCCGTTTCTCCAGTTCCGTAGAAGTAAACATTGTACTTCTTATTGTTGTTGCTCTTGGTGATCTTGGCCGGCCACGGCGGATAACCCTTCACCTTGGCGAACACTAGGTCGCCAATGCTGAAAGACTTGGCAGCCTTTTCCTTGCCCATGTTGGATTTGGTCTAGCTTGCTTAGATGTCAATTCAATTCCAATTTGTTTTCACCGGATTTCTATGGCGTCTGCTCTTCGTCTCGCGCTTTGTGATAAGTGTGGACAGAGTGCGGAAAAAGGCGGTTTTTTTTTGGCTCCATTGCGGCGCAGTGTGACCAAGTGGCAGCTACCTTTTCAAATATTAAAAATGGTTTTAAAGCGGAAACGCTTATTTAAAGAATAGAATTTATGAAAAACTATAAAAAGTTGGCTAAACTAAATAATTTTAAAATATTATTAGCAAAAAATAATATGAAATAGCCTCTTTCAGAGATGCAAGTTGTACATATTTTACCATACAAAATTAAATGTTAAATAAAGCTTAAAGTAAATGGTTATCTTAAGAAATAATTACAATGGTGGTGTAATAATTTTTATAAAGATAAAGGTTATATAAATTAGAAATTAATAAATTTCTACCATAGAAAATTGGAAAACACTTTTATTAAAAGCCTTTTCCAATAAAAGGTGTCTTTTGATTACAATTAAAATTCCTATGCCAGGGTATCTACAAAGTATAGGCAGTTTATCCGATTTGCCAATATAATTACAAACCAAAAATTGTTGGCAAAGCTCCCACAGGTGGAAGTTCGTTGGCAAGCGATTCCCACCTCATCGCACCCACACAAAACACCTTTACGCACCTCAGGGCAGAAATTCACCACATCAACTGAAAACATATTTCGAAGGCATTTCTGTTCGCCGTCAGTTCGCTCAGTTGTCGTTGGTTTGCCAAAAAGAATAGTATCATATCCCCTCCGAGATCCAAAAGAACTTCAGTTTGTTTACCCAAGAGATCGAGGCGGAAAATAGTTTTCATTTTTGGCCTGGAATCCGAGGAATTTGTTTATTGCGGAGCGTAAATTCCTTATTAAGTGGCGCGCGAATTCTTAAGCACATAAACATGCAGGAGTTAATAGTCGGCAGCGGTGGAATCGTTGGAATCGGTGGCATCGACATGGGTCTACAGAGCGTCCCATATGATAATGAGAATGCCGAGAAGGAAAATCGCCAAAGGTGAGTCATTTGCACGCATTATATGGTGGGTTCTTGCTTAAAATGCTTGCGGTCGCCATTTGAGCCCATTTTGTTTAATGACAACCACTAATGTAGCGCAGTACTAACTCATTTAGTCAAGGTCACGCTGATGTCACCTCAAGCGCGCCTTTGTTGTTGCCTGACAATAAAATTGGTTCAATTTCACATTAATTAATGTAATTAACTTGCTCAAATGGAAGTAATATATTGGACTTTATAGCAATTTTTTTTAAATGATAAACGCTTTGTAAAATATATAAATTTTTCAAATTTTGAGCTTAGTTTTCAACATAATATTTGGTATTAAACATAAATAAACCTAACATTCAAGTCTTTTTAATGAACTAACATCTAATGTTTTGGAAAATTATATTTTGAAAAATGTTTTCCAACGCATTAATACTAACTTGTTGTTTTCTTTGCATTTTATAGCCCCTTTTCAATACTTCAATACTTAATAGATCAATAGGAACATATGCACCGAATTTAGCCATATGCGATTTTCAAATCTGATTTGTTTTCGAACTGAATTCCATCCTGAATTCCAATCTCATTACATGTGGGAATATTCAGAGCATGGCCTGCTTTCTCCTATTGTCCCATTTATTCAATGCGGAAATCATGTCGGAATTAAAATGTAAAATTTATAGAATTTTTTAAAATTATTCTTGAGTTTTTCAACGCATTCTTGGCATTCCTTATCGAAGGCCCTGACTCTGACAATTGAATTCAAGGACACCATAATTGCCGAAATGAAATTAGTCATTTATCATGGGGCAGACGGAGGTCTGTCTGCAGGTCTGTCAAAAGTTTTGGCAGTCGAAAAATTCACAATTTGCGGCCCCGAGGTAAAATTTAATATCTCGGCTGTGAGGAATTTTTGCGAGTTGGAATTTTTTGCAAATTACAAGATGTTCAAAAGAATAGCGAATCTTATAAAGGTAAAAGATCCTAGTATTTTCCCCAACCCATTAACCTAGTTTCCCAAGCAAAAAAAAACATCATGTGATTGACAATGGAAAACTAGCCCAGCGACAAGGATTTCAGATTCATCTACTTTATAGCGAATACATAAATAATGGACATGGAATTTGAAAACGTCTCAATTTGTTCTTGCTTTTATTTTTGCATTCGGCGATCAAATAAAAAACAAAACCATCCAAAAAGGCGGGCGGTGTGAAATATTTTAATTTCACTTATTTTCAAATCACAAAATTCTCCCCGCCGTTGCCACTGGCTTCTCCTTAGTGAAAGTGACCGATGATTAATTTTGGCGCCTTGCCAGCGGAATTTGTGATTATTATTTAATGACGACGCAAAGTCGCCGTAAACATATAATAAAACCGAAAAGAAAATGCTATTTTGACACCCAGAAAGTGGCAATGCTCTTTTGAAAATATGAAAGACCTTATTCGAATTCAAAACCAATTAGAGGTTTTATTTCAAATCTTGATATGATACTTAAATACCAGATTAAGTAACGGTTATTTAAAGGTTCAAAAGTAGTTACGAGGCTTATATAGCCTTAGCTTTCTGAAAGGGTATTTGTGCTTTCGTTATAAAAACAGGTCATGTGTTTAATTTTACATTTACATTCCTCAGTGACAGGGGCTTTTGGAGGGTGATGACAGAACTGGGAGGATGGAAATGGGCTTGGGCACCTTCCATTTGATCTCTCTGATGACAAGAGGAGATGTCAGGGGATCGGAATGATGGACATGGGCTGAAGAACCAGATGGCAATTCGCTATTTTAGTTATAAAGATGTTTCCAAATAGAAGCTTAAAGAGTGTCTGTCTGTTGACAGATCTATTTTAATTTGGAATTAAAAAAAGAAAGGGATTGTATAAAAATTTATATTTTAAGAAAATATTTGTAAAGTATTTGAGAGAACGAAAAGAAATCTGACCCTTTGAGCTTTATATAACCATAACCAGATGGATTTGGCTTCCACTTCGATTGTAATTAACCTGTTAAGTAAAACAGATTAAATTGAAGACGTAGTAGATAATATTCCATTATATGATGACTGATATGTTTGTTTACGCATTCGCCAAATACCATTATAGATCAATTCTATTTCCATTTCGCCTCCATTTATTATACACTCCGCGAAACTAATTATAAACAGACATTTCTGAGGTGTACAGATACAAATTTGGGAAAACATATGTATATTCGAATATACATATCTTTGCAATATGTTTATTGTTTGTGCCTACGCAGCGCAAAAAACCATGACGTCGTCCGATAAATACGTAGGTGCTGGGATGGGATCTGCTGGGATGGGATGGATAGAGATCGTATGGGCATGTTGTTTTAGTTCCCATTCACAAAATTACCCTGGCTGTTTCATGTAGAAAACTTTGGCAGTACTACACAAAAAATACACGAATACCTGCCATTTGTTTATGAGCTATTTGTGTTTGGCTTAACACCAAATGTTCTCCTTTGTTCCAAGATAAATGTTCTTATTTTATCGGGTTTTTCACCCTCTATTAATATTTGTATACCAAATGCATCTGGTTTTCCAGCCAAAAATTTTATTTGCAGGGTTATTTGGGAATATAAACAATATTTTTGCATATTATTTATCACCATAACCAAATTGTATATAATTGCATAAGAGAATTCTTTAACGTCTTGAAATAATATATTTTTCTGACATTAATTTATAACCTCTATTTATATTACCCTATAAAACATCAACAAAATTAATGTTGTCTTTAATCTTTTTACTTTCAGCAAAATAAATGCTTCAAAAACCGAAGATCACACCCCCTTTCCTGGCCTGTCTCGTCTTACACCATCCCTGATCCTATGCGGAGCGGCGGCGGTTGTTCCCGCCTACATGGATAAGTTGGGAGTGAGCTGCGTCATCAACGTGGCCCCCGAATTGCCCGACACACCACTTCCCAGTCATAAGAATCCTCTCTACCTCCGCATTCAGGCACAGGACCGCTCAGAAGTTGATTTGTACAAGCATTTCGATGAGGTGGCCGATCTTATCGAGGAGGTGCGTCTCTCTGGAGGCTGCTCCCTGATCCATTGCGTAGCCGGAGTCAGCCGATCTGCCAGCTTGTGCCTGGCCTACCTGATGAAGCATGCTAGGATGAGTCTGCGCGAGGCCTACAACCATGTCCAGTCCATTAGGCCTCAGGTTCGCCCGAATTCCGGATTCTTCCAGCAGCTGCGAAGATACGAGCAGGAACTAAGAGGCAGTAGCTCTGTGGCCATGGTGTACTTTGCTTCGCTGGACAAGGAGATACCCGACATCCTGGAGCCCGAATACAGGGCCATGGAGGACTTCTACCAGCGGTACCGCAGTTCCCTCAAAAAGCGATAGATCGCTCAGTCTACCCAACATAATCTAACTTGTGATACTTGTACCCTACTGCTAGACCTTAGATTAGACCTAATATTTTATGTGCTTATAGATAACCATGAAATGCTGAAACTTACATAAGATGTATGCTTAAACTTCGTAATTACAAATACACTTTTATTTCCGTTTAAGAATATCGAATTTACAGCGTAAATTAATCAGTTTTAGTAACTTCAATGAATCACAAAGTCATTGGCGAACAAACAACACACTTCTATTATATTGTACATCATCTAGTATTATTTACACATATTCGTATAGTAGCTAACTAAACCGTAACTCGTAGATTGCGTACCTTTAAATGCTCACGTTGAATTGTACTTGCGCCAAGCCATACAAAACTTTGGCATCCGCGGGGCGAACTGAATAGATATACAGATATGAGGAGGAGGAGGAGGAGGAGACCTCCGCTTAGGATGTGTGAATGTATGTACATTAACACCTAGAATTCAGCATATCAACACAAGCGACTTAAACGAGACTTAAACAGAAAGAAATAATTGGCTAGCTAAAAAGGCAGAAGTAACCGTTTGTGTACATTCAGCTAAGTTTAATCTAGATTTACTCCAGGAACGCCTCATTTACTCCGAGGCCAGTGGCATCTTTGGCTGCTGATGCATCAGCTTCTTGAGGTTTTCGTATGCTGTGTTCATGATTCCCCAGCTGATGAAAGAGCGTCCCGTGTTAAAGGCGCATCCGCGATAGAAATTGGCTATGCGGCAATCGCGCTCTACATAAATTCGCTTGCACGCCTGCCAGCTGCCCTCTGACTTATGGCCCATGTCACTCTGCAGCGACACCTTAATCACGTTTAGCGGATAGAAGATTGTGCTTATGCTCGCCCCGATTACTGCTCCCGCTATGAACTCCTGTGCTGTCCGAGTGGATACGGATTTCTGTGGGATCAACGAAGTATTAAATGGGTTGCTCCAGGCAATATTACGATGTACTCACTCTCTTGGGCAGACGAACGCTGGCCTCCTCTCTCAGCACGAAGAACAACGCATTGGACAGACCGTTGCGCCAAAATACTGGTTCAAGTCCCCTGTAGAGCTCCCGATAGCCATAGTGGGTTACCACATACCTGAGAAAGTAAAGTAAATAAAATTATGAGAAGTATTTTTAAAGCTATTTATTTTATTTTTAAGATTCCTAAATGTTTGTCATAAGTACAAACCACAAACAAAATACTAGTGACTCAATGATTAATAATAATGATTATTAATATGGATATTTTCTTTGGTTTGATCCAGAAGAATTTCTCATATATAAACCGTATTTCAATCTCAATATAATCTGATTCCATACAAAAAAGGAAAACTAATAAAACTAGCCGTCGCTAGAATCAAATGTTTATTTTATTAATGATAATTGGATCAATAAATATTTATTTTGTTGGACAACTTTCGAATCAGAGAATACACAGACATCTTATATGGCTAATAAATTGGGCAAAGTATAGTCTGCTTACCTGAATGCGTTCGGTGTATTGGAGAAGTGCTGGTGGAACTTGGAGTCCGCTAGAAGGGTTTGAACACGTTCGAAGGGCAGGAGGATGGATTCGGCGCTACCGGCAACCACACCTGCGATTACCTTGGCCCCGTAGTCGTTAAGTGAGTAGTCCTCGACGAGGTACCTCCTTGTGCCGTCAAACACGCCGAACATGATGGACAGGGAGATGGTCTTCTGGGCGAGGGGCGGAAGCATTCCGCGGTACAGGAAGCCCAGACCTTCGTGGCGCAGTTGCGCAAAGGCCGAGGTAATGGGCACCCCGTGCAGCATTTGGCGGAAGATCATCTTGTAGATGGGATATGTGGCCGCGATGTTGACGAAGGCTGCCCCGCACCCGCAGGCGAACTCCTCCCACTGGAAGGCCCCGAAGAATCGATCCGAAAATACACTCCCATGTCTGGATATCCCTATTTCCGGGGAGTGGGTATGGGAACTTCCAGATGGAGCGTTGTTGGGGGGCGGTGGGTCGGTGGTTTTCGCAACATTTGGTGCTCCATCGTCTTTCATCTTGCTATTATCCTAACTTTAATTCGGGCGTGTGGAGAAGTGCGCATTTGTCACCGCGTTACCATTGTAACTACTCACACACTGGGTTTGTGCTCGTTTGTTTTGGTTTCGATTCACATCGGTTAAATTATATAATAATAAAGAACGGTATGACGGCGGGCGACAGTGTGACCGCATCTGGGCCTTTGAGGTATACCAAAGGACTCTGTTATCCAATTTAGTTCAATTTAATCCAGTACAAGAAGTTAACTGACAAAAAACTATCTAAAGAAGACCTAATTTTAATTAATATTATCTTAAATCGGGGTTGATATACGAGGTCATCTTGTGATTGACGTCAAATCAATGCTTACATTATAATGGGGTAGTAAAAGTACTTATATTGTTTTAAATAATATGGTAACAATAACTGAAATAAATGCTAATATATAATGACATTAATAAAATATTTTAAAATTCGTTCTTCCTTTCAAAAAAAGTTGAATAAAGTTATAATTATTTTATAATAATTTAAATTCTCAAAATATATATTACAAAATGAATGTTAAAAGTGCGCTAACAGCACAGACAAAACGCGTTAACAGCACTGTCCTTCGAAATTTAGCTCCTTTTGCGAACGCGATTCAGCCACACTTTCTTTTCGCTTCTGGTTTCCGGCTAGGTATGTACAAGATTTTAGATCCACGTGCGTTTTTATAATTTTTTAGCCATAAATCATGCTTTTAGCGTTCTTAAGTTCAACTCAGTTGGTCATTGTGCTGTTCGCAAGTTAGCGGTTCGTATTTTGCCAAAAATTTGACTGATTCCTGTGAGTTTTGGAAGAATCTGTACTGTTTGTGTTGAAAAAGCAAGGGGAAAGAGAGCGGAAATACGACGAATACAGCGATAAACTAACTGAAAAAGCCACTCCAACTTTGTTGATCTGAACTTTATTTAAAACCCTTGTATTTCATCAGGATGGCGTACTAAAGTGTACAAATTTTTTTTACATTTCAGCATCAAGATGACCATCCGCCCAGCGTACAGGCCCAAGATCGTAAAGAAGCGCACCAAGCACTTCATCCGCCACCAGTCGGATCGTTATGCTAAGCTGTCGGTAAGTGGTAATAAAGATTCCCCCCTCAAACATAGTTATAACATACTCGTTTCTTTGCAGCACAAATGGCGCAAGCCCAAGGGTATCGACAACAGAGTGCGTCGTCGCTTCAAGGGACAGTATCTGATGCCCAACATCGGTTACGGATCGAACAAGCTCACCCGCCACATGCTGCCCACAGGATTCAAGAAGTTCCTGGTGCACAACGTGCGTGAGCTGGAGGTCCTGCTCATGCAGAACCGCGTTTACTGCGGCGAGATTGCCCACGGAGTGTCCTCCAAGAAGCGCAAGGAAATCGTCGAGCGCGCCAAGCAGCTGTCGATTCGCCTCACCAACCCCAACGGTCGCCTGCGTTCTCAAGAGAACGAGTAAGCTTAAGATTCTTGAGAGTTCTTATAACGTGGTCGGAATACAAGTTTGAAAACGTTAATACTGGACTTTTAGTTAAAAGAATGTGAGATTGGGATCGGCCAGCATTGGTATCAAAATCTATCTATGATCATTTATTATTGGAAAGTTCACAGTTAATGCCAATCCTCATTTAAATTGTGGTTCTAGTGAAGAAATACAATCATTCATAGTTTCTATATTATCTTTGTTTGGACTGATACTTTGCTTTTTTGGATGAATCGTGTTATACTTGATAGGTGCTCTTTAGTATATATCTTTGCTATACTGAAAAGTACTTTATTAAGGTTAATTTTATGCATACTAGTAATGAGGAAACAAGAAAATTAAAAAAGTAAGGTAAAAAACTAAACCTTGATCAGAATGTTTCATAAAAATATCTAAAGCAATTCATAAGAAATTAAATCACTTGTGTAGATGTATCTAAAGATACAGTCCAGCCTAAATCAAAGACGCTTTGGTTCGAATACAAGTAAATTATATTTTTGTAGGCGACCATCTACAATAATCAAGTACAAAGAAGTGGAGATATACTAGGGAGATACAATAACTTATTGTAGGCAATGGTAGTTTATTTCAAGACTACGTCGTGATCAAATTGCAAGTGGTGCTCCAGTTCCTTTTTGTTCTCAAAGTTGGTATTGCATATGAGGCAGAAGCCGCTGTTCTCATCGTTGTCGGACATGATGACGGTGACGGCCGCCTCCGATTCGTCTACGTCCACGTGCAGCTCCTCCACCACCTGCTGCTCGTCGGCGGGCGCCTCTTCCCTGACCCCGTATACGACATCGCCTTCGTGCGTCTTCATGTGCATCTTAAGGGTGTACCGCTCGGTAAATGACTTGGGACATACCGAGCAGTAGTGCCTTGGCCGGTTCTCCTTGTGAATGAGCGTGTGATGGTTGAATGTCTTGCGCGATTTAAAGGATACATTGCATATGCTGCAGATGATGGGATTCTCCTCGGCCTCGTGTCGCAGTCTGTGGTTGTATAACAGGTTGTCCTGCGAGAACCTCAAGCCGCACTTTTCGCACTGGTACTTCTTTTTGTCCCAGTGCATGCGCATATGGCGCAGAGTGTTCACTGGTCGCGAGAAGCTCTTGGGGCAGTAGCGGCACTGCTTCTCCGTCTTGCCCTCGTGGAGGTTCATATGCAGCTCAAGGTACTCCTCATCTCGCCGGATTACTCCGCAAATGGGACAGATGTGGTTTGGCTGCTTGGAGTGCTCCTCGCTTGTGTGCTTTTGCAGCTGATACCAGGAGCTGTAAACCTTTCCACAGGTGCCGCACTCCTGCTTAACGCGTTTCTTCATGGGTTTGTCCTCGCTTTCGAAGGGTTTGCTAAACTGGGCCTCGGTGTCGCCCACCTCCACCTCCTCGCAGATGAACTCCTCATCGTCGTCGTCATCCTCCTCGTCCTCGAATTCCCTTTTTATTTCGGTGTCGGACTCATCCTGCTCCTTGACTAGCTCTACGAAAAGGGCATCTGCTTCGGCATCGCCTTCTGTGTCAACATCACTTTGTGGAACCTCCACTTCCTCTACAAGTAGATCTTCGCCAGACTCCGGAACCTCAAACTCAGACTTTAGAGCTCCCCTCAGCTGATTAGTGAGCCGCTTCTGGGTGGTCATCAGGTTAACCATAATGGTGTCGTATTCCGATAGCTCTTGGAAACACCTCGGACATAGCTTGGAACTGGGATTCAGGTCCAGAGACGTTTGAATGCAGTTGGCCAGGTGAGTGAGCACCAGAGACACTGTTTTTTGCGACGATGGCACTTTGGCCGACAGCTTCTCGTAGCGCATGGAACTCGAACTGGAGGAGCCCGCATCGCTCAGCTCCACTGCGCCGCAAAAGAAGCAGGTGTCCATTGCGGCGGGCGGATTCCGGGTTAACCTTGTTTATTTATTGTTTACAACCTCAGGGAGGAAATTTATTGAGGATTTAATAGAGTTGGCAAAATGAAAGAATATCGGAAGCTATACTAAAACGCGTGAAATGCAACCATGGCATCATTTCGACCAGGGCTGGAGAACATTTACAGAAAGTAGCGAGGGCCGGAACGGCGAAAATGGAACAGGGTGTAAGAAGCATATAGTTGGTTATTTTTAAAATTAATTCATTTTGTAACCGTTAGGAAATATTTATTTAACAATATAAAGCTGGCTTTTTTCAAAATGTCATCTTGAGTTCTTCATTGAAAAAAAAGTTATTTGTTTTTATGGTTTCTTTATTGTATTTAAAAATTATATGAATACTTCAAATTAATGAAGCAATTACAAATACATACTACTCGTATTATTACTGTTCCTAACTATAATATTTCAGAAATGCTGTCTTATATATATTTTCAAATTAAATAAAACTTCGAATAAAGGAAGCATTTACAAATTTGTAAATTATGCATATTATAGACCACCCATGGCGTGTCAATCTAATTTAAGGATTTCAGTGATCTGAAAACTTATAAGATCGCTTTCATTGTTTGGGGATTCAATAAATGTGTCCTGCAATATAGAGCAGTTTCCACTTTGTTTTACAAAAGAACGATGTCTTTTAGATACAGATCGGCTGTTCCGGACAAAAGTCCGGGTTGCATTGCAAGGAAGCTGGGTCTGAGAAGTAACTGAACTGTTGGGTTCCAGCTTATCCTTGCTAATTAAGTCTCTTAGCTTGGCCAAAACAGAGTACAATATCTTCAAACGTTTTGCAATACGCTTGGGATCCACTGGGATGTCTAGGTTGACCACAGCCTGGCACTCCCGCAGAATAAGAATGAGATCCTTGTGCACTCGTTTACCATCTTCACTAAGACTCGAGTAATTGACAGGCAGTCGGAAGTGCTCTACTAAAACGCTGCCCCTTTGGACAATGGCCATCAGATGACTCTTCTCCCGAACCTGGATACTCTCGCCTAACATATCTAGGTAGTTGTTAATCAGAGAGCAGCTGTCAATGATTTCGTGGATCACATTCCGAAAGATCAGCAGCTCTTGGTTGAAATGCTCCTGCAGAATTTCCACATGATGTAAAGATGACACTGATTCTGGTAACTGAAGAGCGGGCACTATGCAGGTATCCAAGGATTCCAACGAAGCTAGACAGCTTCTCACAATCGTTTTGGTTTTTATGTCTTGCGAGAAGGCTATGGCCAGCACACCGATCTGTTGGATGCGATCCATATTGGTGTCGAAGGCGGAGATTAGGCCTTGGGCACCTTCTGCATCTTTTTGTATTGCTTCCTTCAGTTTCTCCACCGATGTGTTTTCCAAATCTACCAGGCTGACGAAGATTAAGTGCAGTAGAGCCTCATTTAAATAGGATTCCAAGGCATAAAGAGCTCGTTCCAGCGAGAGGGCCTCGAGCTTGCGATGTCCACTATTCGGATCACCCGCCTGTTCATGAAAAGAGGAACATTCGCTGAGCAAAGTCTCACAAAGAGCAGTCAAAGCCTTCTTGTCTGATTTAATGGCTACATTGGCGAAGGCCAAGGAATGGCGAACTATGTGATTCACTATGCTTGCTAGCTGGTAGGTGTCCTCTGTGAAGCTATCCTCCAGAATATGCAGCGAGATGTTGCTATTCTGACTCAGCTTATCCATGTACTCATCAAGATGATCCAGTGCCAGATCCATTAGCTCAACAAACGAATGATCCTCCAGATTCTTTTCTGTAGTTATGCTGTTTTCCAGCTGCGTCCAGGAGACAAGCAGCCGCCGTAAGCACCAGTCCAAGCGATCGAGAAAGTGGTTCCTCGTCATCTGTGGGGCCTCCATGTTGATGGTTCTCTCCAAATGGGTAATGCAGGTTACCACCTGGGTGAGGCACAAAAAAATGGTCTCCACCTCTAGGTTGGCACCACTCGGAGCCACTTCTGGTAGTCTGGCTTTCAGATCGCTGGCAAAGTCCAAGAAAGTGGCACAGAACTCGTTCAGCCAGCCAATGTTCCCTGTGCTGCTGTAGCCCTCTGCAATCAGCTCACTGCAAGTGTTTAACTGAACCAAGAACGACTCCATGGTTTGTAAGATGTACTCTGGTATAGCTCAACTTTTTGACTAAGTATTGGAAGCCGGTGGTTTGCCTTTATATATGCCAAACTCACAGTTTTTACCTGACCTATTCTAGGGACTTAAGAAACATCTGTCAATTTTATTACAGTCGAGAAAATTCGCGAAATCCGCGAATTTACCTGGAAGAGTTCGTGGAGAGCAGGCAGAAAAGTGGGTTTCTCCGTAATAATTGTTAAGATTTAATTTTATGATACATACGCGCGCTTATGTACCCATAAGCCGGACTTCTTAGATTAAACTAGCAAAGAACTACCCTAAAAGAACGCCGAGGTGGATTCCGTGGCCTCCGCCGTATCCGGTTTCTCGACCGGCTGGTGCACTCGCTTGTGCACTTTTAGGGTGTACTTATCGACAAAGGATTTCTCGCAGTCTGGACAAGGATAACGAGGCCGATCTGTCTGATGGGTGCGTAGATGGTGCTTGTAGGTGCGCTTGGTCTTAAACTGTTGGTGACACACTTCGCAGATTAGGGCGTTCTCTTCCGCGTCATGGCGCATTAAATGATTGTACATCAGCCACGACAACGAGAAGCGCTCGCCACATTTGTCGCACTGGTATTTCTTCTTGTCCCAGTGGACCTCCATGTGACGCAGGACGTTCCGTTTGTGAGAAAACTTCTTTTCGCAGTACCTGCACTCTAGTTCGGTCTTGCCTTCGTGAAGGTTCATGTGCAGATCCAGGACTTCGTCGTCTTTGACCTTAAGGCCACACACATTGCACGTGGCATGCTCGCTCTTTTGGCACGTGTCCGCCTTGATGTGCCGGTCGAGAACTTCCTGGCTGGAGAACATCTCGCCGCAAATATGGCAGGGTATCTCGGTGGTCTCGGTGAAGAACTCCTCCTCCGAAGAGGGCATGCTGTCGTCCGGTTCGCTGAATTGAAAGTCCTCATCCAGCATCTCCTCTTTCATGAATTCCTCTTCATCGACTTCTTCCTCCTCATCCGGATCCTTTTCCGGCTCCTTTAGGGACGTGGCCTGGACAATCTTGAATGCCGGCACCTGGACCCTGGCTCTCTTCGTCGCCTGCTGTTTGGTCTCGGGCTTGCCCTCTACTTGCCGGCAGCCCAGAAGTGCATCCGCAATTTGGCGCTGCACCTGGCTAAGATTCCGAACCAGTCTGTCATAGTTGAAAAGGTACTCCAAGCAATCTCGACAGGCAGCCGAGTTGGGTGAGAGATCCAGTCGCTGGTTGATAATCTTTTCAAAGTATTTTAGTATATCCTTGATCGGCTTAAAGGTTCCTGGCACTATGCAGCCTGCAGAATTTCGGCTATTAGGTTTTCTGAAGACCAAAATATCATTCTTTACCTTCTATTAGCTGGAAAACACCCACGGACTTCTCTTTGCCGCAAACGAAGCAAAACGGTCGCGTTGAGCTCATCTCGTCGCTTAGGAATCGAAAAATTCGGCTTAAACAACTTAATTTGTGTATATTTTGTTGTGAACGCTATGCAGTGTTACCAGATGGTCATACTGTTTCCCCCAAATGCTCTGGGCCAGCCCTGACTTTACCCATCTCTTATCCAATGTTCAGGGTGTATATTAAAAGCTTCCAATTTTTATGTTGGTAAAGATCAGATGAATTTCAAATGTTATTTTTATTTCGATTTGAATCAAATTCTTTTTAACTGTTTTATTCTGTACCTGTATATATTTTCATATTCGATAGTATCGATAAATAAAATTTTTGAGCTTAAAAAAGATCTGGTCTCATTGAGAGACGAAAAAGCATTTTTGGAAAAATTGCCGGTTGGTAAGAATCAAATTGCTATTTTAAGCACTTCTCGGCAATGAATCGTCTCCAATTGTTTTCAAAAGGACTACGACTAATACACAAAATGTCAGAGGAAGCACTTGCAGGCGTGCCATCGGTGCATATCAGCCCAGAGGGCATCTTTAAATACATCTTGATCAATGTCATCGATGGCGGAGATGCCTCAAAGGCTGTGATTCGTGGGTTTTCGGATTGCGAGTGGCATGGTGAATTTTTATTACATCTATTATTCCATTATTAACCCTAGCAACATGACTTCTAGCCGACATTTTCGATCGTGAGGAAGAGGTCTTCAAAAAGCTGGGACTGCGCGCCGAATGCCCCGGTGGCGGACGCATCGAACACAATCCCGAAAAGAAATACCTGAAGGTCTACGGATACTCTCAGGTACGTCTAAATGCCGGAATTCGGGATTTCTATATATATTTAATTGCACTGCTCTTGTATATACATAATAAATAAAAATTTTTCGATGCCTTATATTTCAGGGCTTTGGAAAAGCTGATCACGCGCAGACCAAACGGATCCTGGCCACTAAGTACCCGGATTATACAATTGAAACCTCTGATGAAGGATACTAACTGCAAATTGTGATGTGAAAAACACTTTCTAACACCTTAACATGAAATTACCATTGGCTACGTAGTAATTTACAATAATATTTTGAAATACAGTTATTTGCGGATTACCGGCTTTTTAAAAAAGTGGTCGTTTTTATCTCATTACTATAGGGCCCTGCGTTTATTGTGAGATAATAATAACAATATTTGTATATTTTAATAAACTATCATATGTGCCATGATTTTACTGCACTTGAAATGTAAAAAATATGTTCAAGGAAAAACATTTGTTCAGTAGCTGTGAAACTGCTCAACTAAGCCTAACTTTCTGTATCTAAATTATTTAAGTTCTAAATTTAAAATTCCCTTTGGCAAAATATAATGAAATTGATAAAGTGTTTGAGCTTGTTACCGCGATGTGTCTCTCCTTTGCGTAAGCTTTTAGTAAACAATTTTAAAACCCGCAATGAAATGACCTTAATCTTAGAAAAATGTTATTCGACGGAATTGATCAGTTTGGTTGGAATTCCTAGGGTTCGCATAACAAAAGGCGAGAATCGTTATTTGTTAGTGATGATCCACACGCACGGCTATACGAACTTTGGAAGAGTTATTGTCCGGGGAGCTGATGTCGACAACCATTGTGAGTTTAAAAGTTTTTTTTAAGCCCTTTTAGACAACTTATTTTTCAGTGAAAATTTTCGACTCCATTTTGGAGGAAATGGAGCCGCTGGGCATATGTTCAAAATGCCTTGGCGGCGGGAGAATTCTTAATGATGAGGGCAAGAAGACAATTAAAATTTATGGCACCTCTAGAGTAAGTTTAAGAGAATTGGCTTGGACATAACTTGCAAAAACTATATTATCCCTAGACATTTGGCACTGCTGATCACCGAAGAACTAAGAATGTACTACAAGCGTCGTCGACCTACAGGGATTTCAAGATTTCTGTTAAGAAGTAAACCCCGGCGCATATGCTAATTTAATTGAAATAAAAATTGCACTAGCAAAATGAGAACGCCTTGTTTTATTCTTTGAATAATTAGAAAATCGTAGCAAACATTTTTAATAAATGCAAATGAGAGAGAAGTTAGGAGAATGTATAAGTTTCTGATTCGTCTCACATGCTTTGACTTTTATGACAGTTTTGAATTTATCCCTTACGTCATGACTTTATGTAAAATCAGTATTTCTGGAGCCCTGTTCGTGTTCAGAACAATATTTTTCGGAATAATTTATCTAAATTCCAGTGCCTTTTAAATTTTTCAAAAATGAAAACGTTGAACTTTTTGGCTCCAATTTCACAAATAGTTAAACCTATTCGAAAACAAAGTGTTTCGCGAGTTAATGCCCTGTTGATAAATGTTCCACGAGTTCAAATATCGAAGGGGAAAAACCAATATCTTTTAATGACGATACACATGCACGGTTTTACCAGGTTCGGCAGGACAATCGTCAGAGGATCCGATTCGATGACCCACGGTTAGTCTTGTTAGCAATTAAAACTAAGTATTATTGTTATTGTTTATCCCGCTCCCAGAGGAAATTTTTGAAGAAACCCAGGAGGAAATGGACGGAATTGGCATCTGTACCAAATCCCTTGGTGGAGGGTTCATCAGTAACAAAGAGGACAAGAAGGTAATCAAGATCTATGGGTGCTGCAAGGTGAGTAGATAAGATCGTCCTTTGATGGATATGTCTGCATAAAACTGCCCGCAGACGTTCGGAGAAGCGCCTCACGGAAGGACGAAGGACATATTGCTGTCGTGGACCAAATATCAGCATTTCAATATCATCTTGCCCAAAAAGAATATGAATGCATATGAAGAATAAGGCACGGTGACAGAGTTTAAAAAAACTTACGACATATTGGACAATTAATAAAATACATGAAGAAATACGTTACCAAATTTTATTATAAAGGGTTTTTTATTTTGATTTTGTAGTCTCAAGGGGCATTTATTTAAAACTTCGTATTTTAAATCAAAGCCGTTTTGTTAATTGGAACCGGTTCGATATCAGATATTGGTAGTCGATCACGACAGTAGTGCAACCCTGGTTGCATGGACGGTCACGCTGGTTGAAATATTTATTTTGTAAATAAATTGCAGCCAATAAATTCGAATATGAATTGCTGCATTTGCCAGTTTTCTGTGCGCGTGCCCAAGGACATCCATACGGAGACTGTTGGTCATCCGCCGGTGCTGATAAGCGATGTGGTCTTGCAATGCACCAGAGGCACGGACTACGTCCTGGCGGAGGAATCCTCAACTATCTGCAAAAAGTGCTGTGAGAAGCTGACCCGGTACCACAAGTCCATACAAATAGCTCGTAAGCTGCGCCAAGAAATTCTGGAGCTCATCCACAGTCCCTACATGTCCACGGACATTAAGCAGGCAACTTTCAAGGAGGACGATGTCAGTAGAGAAGTTTCTATAACGAAGTTTGATGGGAACATCGAGGAAGTAGATGATCATGATCAGGAGGGACAAGAACTGGAGGACGTGGATACGTCCGCTGAAGCCGTTACTGTTTTGGATCCCTCTAGTATCGAGGAGGAAGTAGCCGAGGAGGAACACACCTTTATAATAAAACAATCAGAGGAGGATGAAGAGTTTCACTCTGTAGATCTAGAACTGGACATCGATAACGAGATTATTATAAACGAGGAGGAAGCCCACGAGGTAGAGGAGGAGTTGATGCCACATGCCAAGCATGATACCCAGGAAACTCATTTTTTTAAAGAAGACACAATAAGCGACTTTGACGATCATTTAGACGGCACAATAGAATACATAATATCTGATGGAGACGACCAGGACCAGGATCAGGACAGCTCTGGCGAGTATACTGTGAACATACAATGTCCCAGCTGTCCGGAGAAGTTCACTAGCCGGCGCGCTTACAACGCCCACACGAAACGGGAGCACTTCCCAGGCTATGTCTGTGATCAATGCGGCAAAACGCTGCAGTCGTACTCCGGATTTATAGGTCACCTCCAAAACCACGAGCCAGTGAAACAATTCGCCTGCCCTGTTTGCCCCGAGAGATTTAGCCGCAAGTTTCGGCTTAAGCACCACATGGCCTGGCACACCGGCGAAACGCCCTACCAGTGCGAAATCTGCTCCAAGAGATTTGTTCACAAGGTGGCTCTTTATAAGCACAAGATGATCCACGACAACGAAACCAAGCGACTAGAGTGCCAAGTTTGCGGCTTCAAGACTCGGACCAAGGCTCACCTCGAGCGGCACATGCGATCCCACACAGGCGATAAGCCCTTTGCCTGTCCGGTGTGCAATAAGCGCTTCTCTCAGATGTACAACATGAAAGCCCATCTTCGGGAGCACGAGAGCCCTGGGACGAATCGACATCGGCGATTCCACTGTCCCAAATGCACGCATACGTTCATCAACGAGCAGAACTATGTGTCCCACGTGCAGAGAAACGATTGCACCGCAGTTTAGCCCACTATAGCATATGTACAATAGATAATTATTAAGGCCTAATCCCGACCATTATCATGATCACCATTCTGTCAAATAAAATGGAAACATTTGGCAATTTACGTTCTATCCATGTACTTTTTTTTATTAAATCTATATGCATTTTGCTCACAAATAAAATATGTTTGATATAATAAATTTATCCGTTATTTGCATATTTCTGCGGTTATTTCAGTTTTCTTAAAAAAATATGTATAGTATGTGTATGCATTAACTTATTTAAATAAATCAATCGATCGATGTCGTCCGTTTCGGCCCAAGGGCCTCCCGTATTGGTTACTGCTGGACTGATCGAACCCGAAAATGAAATGTGCCTAATGGTAGATTGGTAGATGCAATTGACGCAATTACAATACATTGTATAAATACATAAATGTTAAGTGTGTATGCTGTGTTATAGATTATACAAAAATAAAACAGATTATCTTTTGATTTTTGTCGAGTTGAATAGAACTTTGTTAATATCATCATATTATCATAAAATGCACATTACAAAAATATTAACAAAATTTATTGCAGGCAGTCCGTAGTTAGTAAAAAGTAACAAACAAATCCCAATCGAGGCAAACCCATAAATCTTCTTAATAAATTGTTTTTGTGCAGTTCCTAATAATCTCAGCCGCCGGCTGCGTGACTAAAACGCTTTTCGGACCCTGAACGTACCGCCTGCCTCCAAGGTTTCAACATAATAGGGATGCTGTCCTACTGCCAGCTCAGCTCCATATTTCGTTATGGATTCACACATTTCAGGACCTCCTTTCGGTGGCCGGTGAATAGATCAGTTTTTGTTGTACAGAAAAATACATTGCCCCGCAGAGAGTAGTTTGTGATGCTTACAAAAGCCGGTTGTTTACCGTTAAGATATAGCTTTTGATTTGTCGGAAATAGCTTCTCCAGTTGCTAGCTCTAAGATGCGTACACTTGGTGCGTTCGTTATCGTATTCGTACATTGCCGAGTGCATCAGTGCACCAAGTCACACTCACGTTTGCCTTAATACAAAATCTACGCTAAATGCTTAAATATTAATCGGATGGCTTGACAAGGCCCATCGCTTTGTCTCCGAATAGGGGCAGTATGTCGGAGTCGTTAACAATCTCTTCCTGAATCACTGGACTGTCCGGATCTTCACAGTGCGTCTTAAAGAAAAACCTGTTTTATTTTAAAAAGGTGGCGGTGGTTAGGAAGATATTTATCATTAAGGAGGCTAGATAGATATTACCTAAAGTGACCTCTTCTAGGCAGATAGTCCTTGAACTGACGCAGGGTTGGCTGAGTACCGGGTATTTTTATTCTGTACGGCACTGGCTCCTCGCAGAACGAAAACACAACGATCGTCTCTGGCGGCTTGGCCGGCAGAGGCGGTGGTGCCGCTGAGCTCTGGAGCTGGTGCTGGTGGGGCAGACTGATGCTGCCGCCACTGCTGCTGCTGCTGAAGGAGGCCAGTGGCTGTTGCGACAGGTGTTGCATCGGCGGATTGGCATATCGACGAGAGCGCCGCGGCTCGTCTTCCAGTCTTCGTTTCGCCTCCTCCAGTTTCGAGGCCGTGCTAGAGCAGGATCGAGAACTTTAGTAGGGTTTTGCAATTACTAGAGGTTAGTAGAAAAGCCTTTTTAACCTACCTCGCATCTTTGTACTTGGTAGCAGTGTCGGCCGAGAACATGCTAATACCACTGTCAGTGTTCATGGAAGGCCATTTGTTTGTCAACTTCCTAGAGCAGGAACTGTGATCCGGCATGGACTTTGAGTGCTTCATGGAGTGCCCACCTATTTTTAAATAAATTTTTGTTTAGAGAATCATTGTATCCCTGGGTTTTATTAGCTTTACTTAGACTCATGGCGCCATCGCTGACCATTCCGGAATCGTGTGTAGCTGTCCGTCGGCGTGACGGGATGGGTGGGCAGGGTGACATTGTTCCCGGAGAGCGGTGCGGCGTTTGGTCTTTCCACACTCTCGACACGTGCTGGTCTAGAATGTCTTGGTCGTTGTCTTCGTCCAGTGCAAATTTCTCCCGTATCGCCTCGGCGAAGGCGCGATCACTGGCACTGGATCTTTCGTTGGTTAGCAGAGCTGCTCCCGGATTTCTCTGTAACAGATAAAAATATCGCACATTTAGCCGTTGTGTCTTCAGTTTAAATTTATGTTAATCTAACCTCCCGGGCTCTTTCCTCCAGGTCTCGCTTTCGCTTCACTTCCTCCAGCTTGGGTATCAGCAGAGCCACTAGCTCGTCCTCCTTCAGTGGTCGGTGCTCGCTCGAATGTAGTCGTTGAGTGCGAGGTATTACCTGTTTTTCAATGTAATTTTAAATATATAAATTAGTAAATATATATACAAATACGCGGAGTGCATTCCCATTTACCTGAAAGGTGTTGGTCTCCTTATTCGCCATCGCGCTCTGGCGTATCGCTTTGCTTTCCGTGGAGCTGTGTCTGCGTTGTATGTACGGGCGACCGTCCCTGAAAAAAGAATCATTAGTCAGTCAAGCTGTGGGATGGACTTGTGGATCCATTTTCTCATTTTCTTCTGAAATCATCAGGATATCTAGGGGCTGACCACTTCCATTGGCGCAGCTACTCACATGGAACAGCTGGAGATCGACATGGTGTCGGAGTCGGTGCGTCCGCCGGAGCTAACGCTGGCCCTCTCCGAATCAACCCGCGAATTCGGCACATAGGAGGTGTTGGTAGTGCTTGGATTGTACACATAACCGTGGGCACTACTCGCATGCAGATCGGACCAGGACATACAGTTTCCATGCAATGGCGCCCAATTGTGTGATCGTGTTTATGTGAGTTGGGGGAATCGTCAAGATCCACAAACAAAAATGTTCAAACAAATAAGGAAAACGCAATGTATAATCATCGAGTCAGTAGTGTATCGGTAAACATATGTACAATGCATATGCGGGTGGTGTTTTGAGGTCCAATGAGTGTTGTGGTGGGGCGTATATTCGGTATATATAGTATGCAGGTGGGTTCATGTTTTTGGCGTGCGTGTTTTTGTGAGCGTTCATGTACAAGATATGTAAAAAAAAGTAAAAGAAACGAAAGTAACAAATTAGGAGTTAATCACAGAAAATTATCATCATTAATGGAAAACTTAAGACAAACATAAGAATGTGGTGGATCTCGTTGGTTGGCTTTCGAATATTACAATCAAAATAAAAGTAATTTCTTTTCTATATACATTAATTACAATCTACATTTGTCAGGTACACTTCCTTAATGTTATTATTTTTACTGATTATTTTTTAATCTATTCCGTATGCTATATACAACCTATCCTATGTTTCGTTATTAGCCAAGTAAACTATATTACAAGAAGCTGTCTAACTTACCCGGGAGGTCGGATTTCCAGTCTTCTTTTCTGAGTTGCTATTAGTAAGTCCCTCGTCAGTCGTATCGGGTAGTCGGGCGCTCGCGCACCTGCGCCCACGGATCCGGAACCGAGGGATCCGCCACCCTCCTGCATCTGCACCTTCTCGAAGTCATCGCAGAGCGACAGCACCGAGTCCTCGTGCAGCGTGGGCAGCGTGGAGCTGCGGGGCAGTGTGTCGGTGGCGCTGATGGAGCCGCTGGAGCTGGCAGACGTCGAAGGACCGTACACACTGCCACTGGCACTACACGTGCCAGCTGGCGGCCCACTCACGCTGCTCACCGGCAGGTTGATGAAGGCACCGGGCGGCACCAGTTGCTGGAGCTGCTGCTGCTGCTTGATGGACGCACTGGTTGGTGGGAGGGCACAGGCGCCCACGAGACTGCTGCCACCACTGCCACTGCTCCCGGCACTTCCCGATCCAGTGGCGCCACTACTGAAACGCTCTTGCTGGGCGGACATCTGCTGGATGTACAGGATGTACATCTCAGAGCAGAGAAACGTGGGGTAGATGTTATCGCGGATCGTGACCTCCACATGGCGTTGCATGGGATCAAAGATGTGCGGGCTGAGCGGGATCTCGGGGTTTGTCTTGATGGCCTTGATCTGGGCGCGCAGGTCATCGGAGATGGACAGCTGACTCTTGCGCAGGAATCTGGGCAAGTGGGGCACAAGTTGTATGGCTTCTTATCCTACTTTGTAAATTTACCACTCACCTATAGATAGCTCCGATTATCTGCTTGATCTTCTCCGGATCCGTCTGCTGCTTGAGGCCCTCGCAGGCGAAATAGAAGTTGAGGTGGTCATTGTAGGCGGGCGCCTCCTCCTCGACGTACTTCTTAAAGAGCTCGACTCCATCGCGGTCCTCAAGCAGGTGGTTCAGCGTCCGGGCCCAGTTCAGGTAGGATGGCGGTGAATTCTTCGAGGTATCTGCTACCCCTTCGGTCATCTGATGGATGGACAGCATATAGGAGAGCTCTGATTACAGACAACCTACGTACCTTTTTAACACGGCTCTCTTCTCCGGGTACTGGTGGTCGTGGCCCACTACACTCATTATCATCATGTTTTCGGAGTCCCGATGGATGGCCACTCATGCCACTCTAAATTGGCTTCCCAGGACGAGCGATAGCTGCCAAATATTTACCTATTCCTACGATTAAGTTACCAGTTACGATTAACGAACGTGTTTTCTCTGTTTCAAATCACAAACGCCCGTATTTTACAAATATCTGGGACATGGAAGATGCGCTCGTTTGCGAATTTGGAAGGCAATTAGACAAGGCCTGGAATAAAAGGATAACAAAATAAGACTTAGTAGAATATGGAAAAAGAAAACCTCAATGCCCTGCCATTTACTTGATTTAATTATAGGTTCTTTTTAGTGATAGTAATGGGGGTAATGTAATGGGTGAGATATAGACTGATGTAGAAAAGTGGAAAAGTTAAGAAATCAATTTCCCTCAAATTAAAAATGTTCTTATATCTGGCTGCAAACAAAAACCAGCCCATCATGTCCCACTTTCCCATCTTTGGTTTCCAATTTGCGGAACAGCAATCGAAATCGAAACCGCACTCGTAATTGGAGCCTTAATGGGAAATCCTCAAGGATGCGGAAGCTGAATGACCACTTGGCGGCGACGGCTCTTTCGCCTTTCTTATCAACTTCCAAAGGCAAATCGCACGGTGAAGAGCGGAATCGAATGGCGGCCATTTTGAGGGCGCTTTTGATTGGTTGACGATATCGACCAATGTGCAGCAGTCGGGGCGCATG